TATATATATAAAGCTTGACCTCATAAAAGTCTGTTATTGGAAATAGTTTTGCCAAAGGCAAACTTCCTAAACAATTAGTTTCAAGTTTTCAAAATAATTAGTCAACTGGAAACACTTGAAGGTAAGGTGATCTATCTGATTTCTGATTAAAAAATCATGAATTTCCTGAATAGATGAAGGTCATGAACACCAGCCCTGTGTCACATAAGTCATTACATTTTAATTCCTCCAAAAGCTCACCTTCTCCATTTGGCAGTCTCTGACGCCGCCACTTTCTCTCCTCGTTAYGCCAATGTTCATGGGTGATTTAGTGGCTGTGACAATTCTCTGAACTTTGGAGATATCCTGTAGGTGAAAACAAAAGGTTTTGATTTAGAGTTCAACACAAAAGTCATGTAAAATGCAGGAGAGACTGTCTGGCTTTGGAAACGTGAGCAATTTTGATTCCAACTTTGTGACTTTTCTGTGTTATACTTGATATTTAAACGAATTAAAACCAAGTAAAAGCCAGTTTTGCATGGTCATCAGTACAAAACAAAGACACATTAAGATGTTCAGAATGCTTTTAATTTTGCATATACTGTAGTTGGATATGCACTAATCATTTTAATCCTGATGATGGTAAACTAATGGCACTGATTGTTGAATACATTTCTATCTGTGCATGACATAGAATTAGGAATGACTAAGTAAATTAGTTTGTATTAATACAACAGTTTATATACAGTACCTTTGTCATTTATATTTCTAAACAACACAAACAGCAATATTAATGTTAGTCCATAGCTACCAGGTTTTTGAACACTAAATAAAAGACTCACACAAGAGTGGTGCCACTTGAAGTTTATGTAACTTGGCCATTCAGTATGGAGCAAGTCTAAATATGTTCATTGGTCAGCTTTGTCTAAAATCAGAGCACACAATATTTACACAAGCCACATTTGTAAGCACCCCTTTACGATCTTAGAGCTATTTCTAATACTTGTCTCCAAAGTAACAGTTTTGGTAAATATGCAATGTCATAAATGAAGCACCCAACTGCAGARAAAAGAGAAGGAAGGAAGGTAACACAGTTCAAGGGAGCAAATTATGATCCATCCATGAGCAAAACAAATCACAGGGTTGGCCTGGGGCTCGAGAAACAGGCTGAGCAGAGATGAATGCATGGCTCAGGATCCAGCACAGCAGTGAAGGTGGTCAGCCTTGGGGGTTGTCTAGGGCAAAGAATAGACCCTTCAGAAGATCTTCCAGACTGAAGGTGGGTCTTGTGGATCAGACTATAGGCAAAGAGCCCTTGGGGATTTGACCAGGAGGCCAGCAACATTGGAAACAATCAGGTGGTTTACTGGAATGAAGACAGGACTGAAGCAGTTGAGTCTGACAGGTATGGACCTCAGGGCAGCTTAAGCATCTGGAGAAGCACCCACCTGGGCCCGCTTCTTGGCTAAAGCAGGCAGAGACAGGTCCATTGAAACACCCTGTGATGGCTGGCACTAAAGCGGCTAGATGTGCACTCTTATGGACCCCTAAAGAACTTGCTGTGGAGGAGGGAGACCCCTGGAACTACTTGAAAGCTTTCCAAGGAGGCGGTGTGTCTCCTAAAACCCCTCAAGGAAGAAAACCTTTTTCTATTATAGGATAAGAACCTCATACGTGGCCACAGTAGGAGGGATTGAATTTCAAGGTAACATAATCTGGTAAGGACTCTAGAACAGATGATGGAATAAAAACATGGAATCAATATGTGCTTTTTAAAGGTAAGATAAAAAAATATGCAGACCGTTGGATGTTTAAATAAGGTAAGAGAAGCAAAACGCTATTTAGTCCAGTCATTGTTTGAATTATATATGAGCTAGTATACACATTTTTCCATCAACTTACTCACGTCCCAAGTTACCTGCCCACACACACACACACACACACACACACAC